GTATATTGTCATCTTATTCCTATAATGTGCTGTTATATTTTTCCCTTGCTTTACTGTGTTCTTAGCAAACTAATAAGAAATTTCCTGTGTCAGGGAACTTGAAAAGAAATTTAAGCCTTTATGTCAACACGGGTATATTTTTATCAGATGACATGTTGACACACATGTCTTGTGATAGATGATACAAAAATACTCGTATCACAGTATTTCTCTGACCCCGAATCTGTGAAATGAATGGATGAAGTGCCCATTTCGAAAATTATCTTTAATAGAAAGGAAAGCATAATATTTAAGCTCTGAATGTGGAATATTTATATGTAGAGTAATAGGTTTTTGGTGGAATTTTGGAGCTGTTACTGGTTTGGGGAGATAATTAAAATTACTGCTGCTTATTTTATATGGCAGTTCTAAAAATTATTTTCTATTAATTTTTGAAGCTTATGAAAAATTTTTTACGTTATGAAGAGTATTTTCTAATGTTAGACTTGTGGTTTCTAAAACAAATATATTTGAATCAGTTTATCATAATTTTCTCCTTAGTAATAATGCTTTACCATATATCGCTTCTTTAGGAGAAAGTAAATAAATATTTATATGGGCTCTGGTTTTGTCATTTTTGTTAGGCTGAGAAGTAAAGTGATATATTCTATATGTAAAGTCTTAATATTTCTTATAACTTCCTCAGTGTTCTCTAGACTTGTTCCAAAATCTTTTAAACAAGGCTACAAATTGAGAAGTGACTAAATCAGGCATATCCATAATATCTACATGATTTGTATTTCCATTTTACTTTTAAGTAACATGGTTTCTCTTTCTTACATATCATTTATTGATGTCTAGAACACAAAATATCTTATTGTCTGAATAATCTACAAAATGTGCCGGGAGTCCATACAAAAGGTCCAAAATTTTGAAACCAGAGCCTCAAGTCATACAGTTCCCACTCATGAGTCAGCTAGGTTCCAAGAGGAATTCTGATTTGTCTATCATCACCACTTGGTTCCAGGTTCCACCCATTGCATCATTCTACCCATGTTTTGTTTTGTTTTTTAATTTTACTATTAGTTTCAAGTATACAGTACATTGGTTAGACATTTATATAGTTTGTGAAAGGATCCTCCTGATTACTTTGTCTTCCCTCTGGCTCTGCACCTAGCCATTACATTACTGCGACTGCATTCCCTATGCCGTGCTCCCCATCCCCATGACCATCTATCAACTACTAATGTGTACTTCTTTAACCCTTCACCCCTTGTGTTTTTATGAGTTCTTCTACCCGGAAAATGTGATGCCTGAGTTTGGGATCATTGTCAGCAAACACCATCATTGGTTGTTGCCACATTTGGGGAACCATAGTGGGAAAGAAAATAATCTTTGCTACCCTCCTTGGGTCAAACAGCTCTAGTGGGAGATAGGAGAGTGCCGAGGACCACCAAAAACAACCCAGAGTCCAAGTGCACCATTGCAGACACAGTGACCGCATCCTTCTAGAGTCTCCGAGGAGCCAGCATGCTGGCAACAGATTAATTGCCACCAGTAAATTCCTCAGCCTGTACTAACATTTTGCAGATAATGCCTGTGCAGCTAATGCCTTGAGCATTGGTTTGCAAAACACTGTTACCAAGGAATAACTCACATGAGACTATTTCTGTATTCTTACTTTTTGACATTTGTGTAGAGGCATACCTGATCTTGCTTTTTATAGGATGTGTTAGAATGTGAGGCCCAGGAGGGATCTCAGAGGCCATTTTATTATTCAAAAATTTGAAATGGGGATTAGGAGCTTGCTCTATCCAAGTCATTGAGTTTAATTAGTGACACGGCTGGAGTTAAGTCCAAGTTTTCTGCTTTCCATAGTTTAATGCAAAGAACAAAGTAATGGAGAGAGGAAAAATGGTCCAGGTTCCAGAGGACTGGCTGGGTAGTCTCAGGGGAAGTCTCTACCTCTCTCTGGTTCCGGTGTCCTCATGTAAAATGAGGAGGTCCATTACTAGATTATAACATCCTTTCCAACTCAGGAAGTCTGCTTTTGTTTTCGTTTTTTACTGTTTGCTTTGTGCTACAAATATTTGCTTACCATAAATGGTATATTATATGTCTGAGAGAACGGATCACACATGTAGGCTGTTGTGCATTGGCCATCTGCTTGTGTGTGCTTTAACATTTTTATTTAAAGGAAATGCTGATCTCTAGAAAGTTTCGTTTTGTCTATCTTGGTGACCAATACGTGCTTCAATTAAAACTTTTAGCTGTTGTTAGCTTTCAAGTGGTTAATTCCACTTTTACTTAAAAACTTTATTATTGTTATTTTTCCTGTCCATTACACATTCTTTCTCTTGCTTCCGTCGGCCAGCCCCAGCCATATAAGCATCTTTCTTACCACAAGTTTTCTAATTATTCATAAATAGCTTTACAAAGCAAGCTCCAACATGTAAAGTGAATTTGAGGACAGAGGGAAATGTTTTATCCGTGGTCCTTGGGGAAACTCAGTCACCAAAATGTACTCGTCATCAGGGTTGAGGGTAAACTCAGGCCACTCAGCACATGAATTCAACAACTGCTGTCAAAGGCCTGACGACTCTTCTAAACTGCAGCCAAGCCATTCTGCCATTGTTGGCATAGCTTGACCCTTGCATGAGCCCCCAATGTCCCAGAGCAGATAGGGCCCAGAGCTTTTCTTCAGGTTTCCATGTAATTTCTTTGACATCCAAGATACTGGCCAAAACTTATCTCTGTGTAACGGGGGCAGGAGGTGTGTCTATTGGTAGCACCATTGGTAGCATCAATGGTAGCACCATGACAGGCTGTCTCTTGGCACCACATTTTATTTTTAGCCCTAGATAGCTGTAGATTCGGTGGCCAACTAGCAGCCAAAGTCAGCGACACAGCCATGGCTATAGCTAAGCCCTCTAGATTTTGATGGATTGTCAGTTCCTAGGACAGAGGTGTTTTTTTTAGGTGGTTTGAGAATACTGGAAAACATTGGTTGGAAAACAGCAGCATAAGTGCTGAGAATATAAAATTTAAGATTTCTTCTGACTTTTAATCATATGTAATCATAGAAAATTTCATTATTTTGATTTAGCAAGCTGAAGTAGCAAAGTACAGAAAATATCATCATGCAGGATTTTCCCTCCTGTTTAATGTACAAATACTAATTTTGCTGTCAGCGAAACCATTTATTAATGAACAGAAATATTCTTTACCACTGGAATTGAACTAGTCTTAGAAAACATCTTAAATAAAGGCATTTTGTTTAAGATCTACAAATCCAAGTGTCGTGGGTACCTGAAAGGCCCATCTACACAAGAGGTTGAGGCGGGGGAAGAATGGAGTGTCTGTGGGGACCTGCCTGCAGCTCCAGACAAAGGCAATGGCATTTGGTGCTACCCCGTTTGGGGATTAGAAGATCAGACTCCAAAATGATAGTACCGTTGTTGCAGTCTCCCAGATCTGCCTTTGGACATTCACTAAGGGCCTGAACTGCCCAGCACTGGGTCTCTTTCATCAAGTGTCCTGGTTTTTGTTTTTTTTTGTTTTGTTTTTGTTTTTTTTTTGACATAAGGATTCAGTTCTTCAGGGTCATGTGATTACGCCCTTCTCTGAAGTTTCTTAAGCTAGACATATTTTTAGTGGGGGAACAAAAGAGGAATAGGGACGGAAATGTTAGGAGAATCGGCCTGTTATTTTCGTTTGTTTTTAATTATGGGTTGTTTTAGACAAAATAAATTTTCCTAAGATTTCTGTTATCCTCTTTTCCATATTTTAAGAAGGATAATTTCAAATTTTGAAATTTTGAACTTAACTTCTGCTAAATTTATTATATAAGAACTTAATTATTTAAAATAAAGTGAGCTTTTTTAAAAATGAAATGATACATACATTCTAACCAAGTTTAGAAGCGAGGAATTATTCAAGTAGTAGTAAAATAATTTTGGAATGAAACATTAATCTTCTAAATAAGTTTAAGTTTTTCCGTGGCGTTTCTTTAGAGATACACTTCTTGCATTATTTATTCAGCTATAATTCAAGAAAGAGCCTTTAAACACTTGAAATTTTGAAGCAGACTTAAGAAAGTTTTAAAAGTTACAATACTTAAATCATTATATATTGTGCTGAATGACTAAAACATACAAAAACTTAAAAACGTTACTAATGCTTACTTGTTTAAATATTGTGTTTTATCATTTTCTGCTTAGAGACTTAATGTATATTTAATTTTTTTGACACTTTTTTTAAAACCTTATTTCAGGAAGGGAAAATGAGCAGAAATTAAATAACAACAAGAACCATTTAAGGAAAGCTTTGAAGAATAACCCCTCTCTCACTAAGGAAATAAGAACCGTCCTGGAGCAGAGTTTGGTGGAGAAACTGGAAACTTTGGGGATTAATGCAGTAAGTTCATTCATTTTTGGAACATTTGCCGATTTGTTTTGTTATGTTTTCTAAATAAGAAAGGATCAGAGAAGAGAAGAAAGCATGTCAGTTCTGTCCACTTTTGGAGACGGGAGGTTAATGCAATATGACTTATCAAGCATTTAGAAGGCATTCGCTGTGTGTCTGGCACTTTTCTAAGATCTTTAGAAATATTAACTCATTTAAACATAGAAACAAGTGTCTGAGGTAAGTGACAATATTATCTCCATTTTACAGGGGGGTTAAATAACTTGCTTCCAGTCACAGGGCTAGTAATGAAGGAGCCGGGGTTTCTATCCCGGCAGTTGAAGAGCTGCTTACATTCTGCTATTAACTCCAAATTGTTCGAATTGCTGCTTATTACAAAATAGCACTTAAACAATACTCGTTAAATAAATGGATGAATGAGTTGTATGTCATGTTGTTGCCAGACTGAATTCTGGTATATGTTATATATACTCTGCTTTTTACATTTTTATTGACAGACATACATAAAATACAAAAATCTTAAGTGAACTTGAAGTTATGTACCTATATGTATGCATTTGTTTGCATATGCATGTGTGCATATATGTATGTTTGCAAAAGTATGTGCATACACATGTGTGCATGCCACAGGTGCATGCACATGTATATATGTGCACGGTATGCATGTATGTGCATGTATTTTTATGTGTATAGATGTGTATGGTGTGTGCATGTCTATCTATACACATATGTACCCCTGTATGTATACATGTGCGTGTGGATTTATGTGTATATAGGTATGTGTATGTGTGTATACACGTATGTATCCCTGTCTGTATACCTATGTATATATAAGGATTTGTATATCCATATCTCTGTGTTTGTGTGTGTGTGTATGATCTGTAACTACCACCCAGATCAAGAAATTGATCATTTCCCATACTCTAGAACGCACCCTTTTGCCTTTTCTTAGTAAATATCACCCCCACAACCCCACTCCTCAGCAAGAAGTAATGGCTATTCTGACTTAGTTTTGCTTGTTTTTGAACCGCATATGAATGAAATCATACATCATGTAGTATTTTGTATATAACTTCTTTTGCTTATGATTTTGTCTGTTAAGATTCATACCTATTGTTTCATTTCCCAATGCTTTGTGGTGTAGCATTCTATTACCTAAATGTGCTACATGTGCTACATTTTATCTCTTTTCCTGTCGATAAACTTTCAGATTTCCAATTTGGGGCTCTTTTTGACCATTACATTCTATATATGTCTTCTGGTGAACATAGGTCTTCCTTTCTCTTGGATATATATCTGTGAATGAAATTGCTGAATCTAAGCATATAGATGTTTATGTTTAGTTTTTATAGATATGTTAGCCAAATAGTTATTAAGTGTTTGTACCAATTTACACTATCCCTATCTGTGTGTCAGTTTCAGTTGCTTCACATCTTTTGCCAGCTCTTAGAGTTGTCAGTCTTAGTGTTGTCAGTCTTTCAGATTTCCATGTAGACTCTTTTCGGGTGGGTCTTGACCACCCTGAAGGCACTGGAAATCAAACACATTCATGAATGTTGGTAGATCCTATGCAAATTGTTTCTTTTCTTTTCTTTTTTAATCACGTTCCTAGGACAGAGGTGCCTAGATGGCCTCCCATCCAAGTACTAACCAGGCCCAACCCTGCTTAGCTTCTGAGATCAGATGAGATCGAGCACGTTCAGGGTGGCGTGGCCGTGGACACAAATTGTTTCTTGAAACTGTAGTTTTCGTGTTGGTTGTCTGCATACAGTTTTGGGGTTTTGTGTTTTATTTGGGACATTTCCTTTTATCCAAGATTATAAAAACAGTCTATGTTTTTTTTCCCTAATGCTTGAATAAGGTTTTCTGGTTTTTTTGTTTGTTTGTTTTTTTGGGGGGAGGGGCATTTATCTGAGCTTTAACAATTAAGTTTGGAAGCAGCGAGTTGGAGAGTTAATCTTATTTCCAGTTGGATCAGTTGTCCCAAAATCATTTGTTGAATAATCCATTCTTCTCCTACTTATTTGAAATGCACTTCTATCATATAGGAAATTCCTATTATATTTGGATTTTTTCTAACTTTCAACTGTTTTACCCTGCTTTTTTGTATTCCTTTGCCTATATCATACTGATTTAATTGCAGTAGCTTTGTTCTGTATTTTAATATCTGCTGTAGGTCATGCCTTCTTCATTAGTCTTAGTTAAAAAATTTCTTGGTAGTTCTTCCATATTCTGTTTTCTTGTGAATTTTAGAAACAGCTTCTGCAGTTCCAGAATAACTCCTATTAGGATTCTGATTGGAATTGCCTTAAATTTTGTATAATTAATTAGGAAGGACTGAGATTAGTACAGTATTGGGTATTTCCATTCAGCTACAGGGTCTAGGAAGGCAGGTAATGAACAGCCGCTAACACAAGCAGATAGCAAATCTGTGATAATCAACTGTAGGATGTGAAATGAAAGAAAAGTAGATGGGATTGAAAAACAGGTCAGAGAAAACTTCTTGGAGGTGGCACTTGATCTGATGATGGAGATTCAATCCTGGGCAACTGAGTAGATGCTGGGGCTACTTCCTGAGACAGAAAAGACTGAGGGAAGGAGGAAGAGTGGGAGGAGATGGGATATAGGAGGGAGTCTATGTGGGAGTTATTGAATAAGCAGCCCTTTAACTAGTTTTCTTCTGTCTAGATAGCCATCAATCAAATCCAGATGAATTTTCTCAAATTACCTCTTTAATTATCCTGTTTTCATAATTGAAAACCCCTGATGACTTTTACCTGTGGAATAAACCTTTAAGCTTTTCATTCCAGCATTCAATCTCCTTTTCTGATCTCCTCACCCGTTTTGTAGCATTAGCCACTGGATGTGCCTTGACTAATTCTACTCCAACACCTGCCTCTACCCTAATCTCTATCCATCTGGAACACTCCTGTGTTTCTACTTGTGTAACTCCACCCATCCTTCAGGGCACAGCCCAGTCTCCCCACTAAGCCTTCTCTGGCCACTGGGGCCTTCAACAGCCTCTCTCGGTGGAACTCCTCCAGTCCTTGTAGATTCATTTGGTCCTTATCACATACATTGCACTGTTGGTTAATCAGTCATATATAATCACACACACACTGCTAACTAGTCACATATAACCATCACATGCCTTAATTTGTCACACTGCACTTTTGGGACCCACAGAGTAGTATATATCGGGTTGCCCTTTACCTTATATGCTGCAGTAAGGATGAAGGGTTGACACAATTAATGCTGACAAATATCCATGAAATGAAAAACATCCCAGGATAAATTGATTAACTTAACATTTTATTCCTTCAGGATATACGCGGTATTCCAAGTGATCATTTGAATAGAGTGCTAAAAACCGTGGAATCAGCAAGACATGATCGAGAAAGACAAATACCTAACATTCAGCAAATTCGAGAATACCTTGAACATGAGGTCAGCTGTAAAATTGAGGAGAGAACATTGCTGTCTTCAGGTAAGCCTGTTACTGACTGCCATTTCATTTCTGCAGGTGGAAGTGAAATTTGACAACCTTTTCATAATTTTAAATGGTTCACAAATTTTGGCACTTAATTTGCAACTTTATTACTATTTGAACCATTAAATGTTAGATCTTGGATTTTGTTTTTACATTTAAGAAATCCCTGTAGTGTGGGCTTTAGATTCTAGAGACGGGCTTGCTTATTTCAGTGCCAGTATAGGCAGTATTACAGTCTTTTCTTCTGCTTTTCACTCATGAATGACACTACTATTCCAGATAAGTACAGTGCTGCTCAAATGGATACCCTCTCAACTGGAGAAATACCCAAGGCAATACAACTTCCTCCCAAAAGCAGACAATTGATTAGACAAAGACCTGTTTTTACTGATAGGACATCTGTTCCAAAGTGAGTATTTTCCAACCCTAAAACTTATTAATGTTTATCTTAGTTCGGGCTGCCACAACAAAATTCCATAGACTAGGTGGCTTAAACAGAGATTTATTTCCCCACACTTCTGGTGGCTGGACATCTAAGATCAGGGTGCTGGCCAAGTCAGATTCTGGTGAGGCTTCTCTTCCTGGGCTTGCAGACAGCTGTCTTCTGTGTCCTCACATGGCAGGGAGAGGGAGCTCTGGTCTCTCTTCCTCTTCTTATAAGGACACTAAACTCCTCATGGGAGCCCCACCGTCATGACCTCAAATAAACCTAATTGCTTCCCAAAAGGCCCCATTTCCAGATACCATCACATTGGGGATTAGAGGCTTTGACATGTGAATTTTAGGGAGACATAAACATTCAGTCCATACCAATGTTTAACTCAACAGAGAATCACACTTGCAATTCCTACCCATCTCTCATCGATACTGGGAGACTCTTGTTGCTCACCATGTCTAATATATATTAAAAGCAAAAATCACCAATTCTATAGAAATTTTTGTTAAATTTCATTATTCACTCATGCTGTTTAGAAATAGTTTTCCGTTGTTTTTTAGAATTAAGAAAAATATCATAGAAGATAATTTTCCAAGAAAGTCTTCGACTATTATGTGAGTACTTTGGTGGAGGAGGTCATTTAAAAAATTCTTTTCACCCAACACTCTTTTTTTTGTAAATTAGTATGCTCATTGTGGTTAACTGAAGCCCTAATTATTAAATGTTATAATTAATGTAATTCTCTTGTCATGTCTTTGTTTCTGTATCAGTTATTACACAAGTTAATAGCACTTATCATGTTGTGGCCTCCATTAAAAAGTGAGACCACCCTGAGTCATTTCCATTATCCCCCTCAGTGTCTAGTAATTTTCAATAAGTTTGATAAATTAATGATGTTGTCTTTTAATAAGACTGGATGCATGATGGTGTGGTCAGATGATATACTAATGTTCTAGCTCCTTGTGGAAGTTGATTATGGCCCTAGACTTTACTCTCTTAGGCTCTCTTAGGATACTAAGACTCCTAGCTCAGTCATTGATTAACTGTGTGCCACCGGTTCAATTGCTTACCAGTTTTAAGTCTTAGTGTTCTTATTTGTAATATGGGGTGATGCTGCCTTTTCCACAGGATAATTCTACAAATTTAATGAGAATACATGAAAAGGGCTTGGCCTCAGTGCTTGGCACTTGTGGGAATTCAATAAATTGTAGGTATAGTGTGGTTATTAATTATGAGTAAAACTAACTTTATAATTGAATTTCATTATCGACTTATTCTAGAGATAATTGATACTATAAGTCTCTTCACTGAGGCATTGTGTGTATGTTTGGGTGTGTATGTATGTGTGTATATATCTATATCTATATCTATCTATCTCTATATATATATAGCACAGACAGTATAAATGTAATAGAGATAATATAAATAATGGCTTACCCTTCAAAAGCATTTTTCATAATATCATAGGAAGAGCCTTATTTCATGGGTTGTAGTATAATTGAACATTGTTTGGAATTTAAGTGCTCAATGAATATTGTTTTGAATGGATGAACATTGCTCTGAGTTTTCATTTCACTTTAAAATGGGGTGATAATTCATATGATAATACAAATGAGATTGTATATGTAAAAGCATTTTGTAAGATGCAGTATAAATGTTATAAGTAGTGACACTATTTCAAAAGATGGAGTAGTTATAATGCAGAAAATATTTTTTCCCCACTGAGGAATATTTTCCTTAGGTGTGTAAAAACCAAGAATGTTAAGAACATCCAAGTTTGGATTTAGAGAACTGTCATAACTTCAGTCCATTTTGTTAACTTTGCCGCATGGTTGGCAGGTCTGGATCTGAAATGCCTCCTTAGCCTTTTGCATATGTCCTGGACCTTGCCACCATCTTGTTCTGTGGCCATACAGGCATTTGTTTGTTATGCTCCCTGGGAATTACCTGAGAAAGTCCTCACCACTTTAAGAGGCATATCATTGTAAGTCCTGGAACTTATTATAAAAACAGCACCTCCTGTTTGGGTTTTTATTGTTTAGGACTTCTCCCTTTAGTTCAGAGGAAGAGTTGGATGGTGACGACCTCATCCAGGCATACACGTCCCCAGACTTACCTCCTGTGCAGTCATCTAAAAGCAAGAGTAGCTTTGGAAAGAACAACGTCAAAAGTGACACTGACTGGACCGAGGGAAGTGAAATTGAAGACTCCGATATTTCTCCCAAGCCCACAGGTGAGAGCTTTTAACATTGAAGATCCTTTTGGAAATTTTGTTTAGGACAGTGGTTCTTAATCAGGGGTGCCAAGCGCTGGCAGTCTGAGCTGGAAAAGTGCTCAAAAAAGAATGGGGCGAATCCAAAAGCCTGCCTAAGGAAAATGGACAGGGCTTAGCAATGAACTGACATTCGAGTAGAAGGAGAGGAAGGAGTCAGTGCTGCTAAGGTGTATTTGTTTCCTAGGGCTGCTATAACCAAGTCCCACACACTGGGTGGCTTAAATAAAAGAAATTTATTGTCTCTCAGTACCAGAGGCTGGAAGGCTAAAATCAAGGCAGAGTTCGTTCTTTCTGGGGGCCACAGGGAAGGATCTGTTCTGTGTCTCTGTTCTTGGCGTGTAGATGGCCGTCTTCCTATGTCGCATCACATCAGCTTCCCTCAGTGAGTGCATCTGTGTCCAAATTTCCCATTTTTGTAAGGACACCAGTCATACTGGATTAGAGCCCACCCTAATGACTTCATTTTAACTTGACTACCACTCTAAAGGCCCTATCTCTAAATAAAGTCACATTCTTTGGTACGGGGTTTGAGACTTCAACGTGTGAATTTGGAGAGACACAATTTAACCCATAACACTGGGTAACTGGGAGAATGGTTGGCTGTTCTAGTACATTCTACTGCCTTTTAGAGATGGGGCAATTCTAAAGGAACATAAGATCCAAGTCTGTGACGGCTGGTAATTTGCTGAAGAGAAATGGCACTGAGGTTCATTTTTTTTTTAAAAAAAGAAATTCTGTTTAATATGTTTAAAAATATATATTTTAACTGTATCACATGTAATTTGTTGTATATATTTTACATGTACCATATATTTATATAATTATACAAAATATAACTAATTCATTTAAAAATAATTAATATTGTTTTTGAAAACACCCATGTGAATATTCCATTCATGCAGGTTACCTCACTGAAATTAGTTTCTGATTAGTACTTGAATGAGACCGTCCTTCTTTGATTTAAAATGAAAATTTTGTTGCTTCTAATCTAGAGATCATTAATTTTTTAAGGAATTATAAGTATTTAATGTAACTTTTTAACCCCCAAAATACATTAGTTGAGTTTATTTTAATAATAATCAACTAAAAGCAAAACATAGATACTTCCAGAGTTGCTCGTAAGGTTATTTTAGAACTGAAGATAGATACCATTTTGTAAAACCTTTTCCTATTTTCTATTGGTTGTTTAGGAACCTCCATTAAAACGTTAACTGAAAAAGTTGAAAAGACGGTTTCAAATCACAGAAATGTGAATAAGCCAGTTGGTGGGATTAATGTTGCTGAGGCATTCACTAGAAGAGAATTAAAAGAAGAACTAAAGGTGAAATCATTTTTACTTGTTAAACATACATAGAAAAATATCATCTTTTAATGAATACGTCCTAATTTTATTTTTCATAGTGAGATATAAAACAAATATAATCACTTAGGACAGTAGATATTTTTGCCTTTTCTTGTTTTCAGTATTGCCTTTTTTTCCCATTCCATAGGTGATCAGGGATATTGGAATGATAACTGGTAATAATACATCATATGCTTATCAAACTTTACAGGTTTTCAAAATCCTGTCATGTGTATTATTTGATGTTCACAGATATTAGGTGGTTTGTACACAGAAACTGGTGACTGGCTAGAATCTGAAGCCTCCAGATTTGAGTCAAGGGACTTTTCCACTTCCATGGTATGACGTGGAAGTAAAATAGAGACTTTTCAGGGTTTATTTAGGCCAACTTGGGAGCTGTCGTCGGTGGAGAAATGCTTCAGGAGGATGTGCGCACCAAGTCAAGGGCAGAGCCTGAGCACTTCTGCCCGAATAGAGGAGAGGCCCTAACACATTCTGAGCAGCACCCAGCACATGGAAGGGTTTCTGTGGGGGGAGATCACCCATCGTGTTTCTGGGCACAGCTCATCTGTGTTGACGGGATCTTCCAGTAGTAGTCGTCCTTTTTTAAATTTTTCACTTAAATTCTTCTCCTGTTCATCTATGGACTTCAGAGCATTTTGTCCAGCTACTTTTATTTGTGTTACACAAGCCAAATAAGACAGTATCGTGTCACTCAAGAGAGCTGCGTGTCTTCCTTAGAAAGGGAGTGGTCAATGTGCCGTGTTCCTTTCCCTAAGGGGCTGTTTCTGCAGGGCCCTCGTGTGATGTCTCCTACTATTAAATGTCATACGATCACAAAGGAAAGAACTCCGGAGCCAGTCTAGCTCTTACTTGGGGAGCACCTTGACTTTACTTCTAAAGTGTAGTGTTTCTGGAATTTTCTAAATTCACGATTGGTAGAGTAGGAAACACACTTCCAAGGCAAGAAACAAAAGAAGTTTTTCCCTCCACTTTCAAAACATGGATTTACAAATCCATTTCATTTCCCTCTAGAAATGACCAGTTAGAGGATCTTCTAATGTTCTCAAGTTTTTTTTTCAAAAAAATTATCATTAGCGTCATTGGCTCCATCAGGCCAACAAAATGATTGAGGGGCTCTAACATGCACCATTTCTTTTAAGAAACATTAATTATTCTCCATGTATTTTTTTTTTTTTTAGTATGCAGATGTGGATGACGATGACTGGGACATATCATCATTAGAGGAAGAAAAATCTTTGGGGAAAAAAACTGGGAAAGAACAGAAAGAACCTCCACCTGTGAAAAATGAATCAAATGCTACTCAAGTGCCAAGTGCCTGGGGTGCACCTAATCTTAAAGGACCAAAGGGAGAAGGTTTGCTGCTTTTGTGTCTTGCAGAAGCTCAGTCTACATTTCGATTATTTTTTGTGTCCCATCTTTATGAATATATATTTATAAACAATGCTAATGAATCATCAGACAAAAACACTGCTGGCATAACAAAGATCTTGATGCTTTATGTTGTTTTATTTTATTATTTTATCTTTTGTCTCTTTATTTTATTTTAACAGGGACTGAATGTGTACAGCTTACTAATTTGTATATATTTACTAATTATTTTTATTTAATTTTAGGCCTAATATTTAGTGTTTAAAAGTTTTTAGTCTTCAAAAAATTTTATGTTTCAAAATTTTGTTTTTGAAGATGCTCATATAAATATACTCTTCATGTAGGTGCCTTGAATGGGGCCATTCTTATGGCACTCTTCCCATCTTATTCTGTTTAAATATATTAAATATTTTTCTTTATTTTCTTTGAAGGAAGATTTCTCTAATAGCATGGTAGCCAGTGGGATGAGTTATAAATAAAGCGATTAGTTGAAATTGTTTCTGGCTATGTCCTAGTGTCTGGATAAATCCAGTATTTTAACCTTTGATACATTAAATTTTTAAAATTAGAAAGTGTAATTTATATTTTTTTATAAAAGTAATAACAATCCACATGATGAAACTCAAGTTGTACAGAGGGCTTCTCCATGACACCTCTCAACAATTCCATGGTAGTGCCTCTGATGAGTACCCCACTGTCTCCGAGTAATGAGGTTAGACCACTATTTCTAGACTTATCAACCGCTGATGTCCTGCTATGGCAGACGAGGGTTTGGCTTTTTCTTCACTCACTACATTTCTCATGCTCCCTCTTCAGTATTTTTCTACCCTTATTTGTAATTTTAAATTAACACACATTAATCTATACTTGCTCTTTCCATTTGCAGCAGTGTCTCTTGCCTACCACACTTTCTAAAGTGAATCATTGCTGCTGCCTCTACCCTTCACCGCCACCGTGTGTCAGCTACGCCTTTACTTTCACATTGTCTAGTCATAACCTTGACCTTCTGTTCTATAACCATCATTAAGTTACCTGTGCTAAAGATCAATTCTAATATCTGAAAAACCAAAGAACTGTGTTTACGTTACAGTGACTCTGTAAGTACATAGGGTCAAGCAGACTTTCTGAGTGCATTTCCTTTCTCTTCTCCCATTGCCATGACCTCAAGCCCTCAAAAAAAAAAACCTATCTAGAGTCAAACTCAAGTGGAAGTCTCTGCAACACAGTATTTCAGTGGCTCAAGGCACTTTTTAACTTCATATTTAGGCTCATCTACCCTACGAAATCTATTTTTACCATGTAATCCCTACTTGGCTTGTTAATTGATTAATTTTTTTTTTTACCACCTATTCACTCAGAGTCAATAACAACGAAAACAAATTGGGTGCTGTCAACATCCAGACCCTGTGCTGAATGCAGGGAAGGGGATGCCAGGTGGAAGCTTCCATACAAGGGTCCTGGGAGAATATCTTAGAGGATGTGGCCCTATCGTGGTCAGATTGCACTATAATCTCCTACACAGATTGCGAGAGCTGAGGTTGAGGACTGGTGAACAGATTTAGACACTAAGGGATAAATTACAGTATGAAGTTATGAATTTTTACAGACTGGACTATATGCTTGTTTAATCATTGGAGTCTCCTCTTCCTCCTCTCTCTCCCTCCACAGGACTTCAAGATGAATCAAGCACATTAAAAAGCAGCTTAGTAACCGTGACTGATTGGAGTGACTCTTCAGATGTTTAACTGTAGTCCCACATGTCAGAAGTTCCAGCTACCAACAGTATTTCAGTATCACAGTATTTCAGTATCACAGTATTTCAGTAATCTGCCAACAAGATTCTAATGCTCCTGCCTTACAGTTATTTCCCACAATAACAAGCTGATTCAAAGAACAAGGGTCCCTTTACAGCACCTAGTACGGTACTGAAAAACAAACTGTCAATAGTATTTTGAAGCATATAAAGGTGTTTAAGACGTCTGCTGCTTAAATATAACATGTCATTGAGGTCATAAAAAGTTTTTTCTTCAGAATGGTACTCTAGTGTTTAAGTGTATTTATTTTTTCCAACTAATTTTTAAGTGAAATTTTAAAAAATTATATCCTGTTTTAGTTTGAATTAAACTTTTAAAATATCTTTCCTATGTACATTATCACGTTGGAAGTGTTTTATTATAAAATTCTGTTAGTATCCTTAAAATTGAATTAGTGGAATCAGTGAAATCTTAAGTGTAGATTGGTTATTTTTCATGTAGAAGTTTAGAATTATAAAAGTAGAGCTAGGCCCATGTTAAATACGTTTTCCAGAAATACCTTTACCATACGCAGCTTTGAGCCATTGTAAGCATGTTGTTATTAAATAATTATTTTAGAACTTTAAATACCATTTCTGCAGCATAATCTTTACCTGGAATATTTTATGAATAAAATGTAGGTATTTTAAATGTCAATTAATTTAACAGAATACGAATAGAAAAGATTGAGTCACTACTGAATTCTTAAGTGTGTGTAGCTTTTTTTTATCACTTTTTAAAAATGTCCAACCTGTATTATAAAATACCTCAAAACTAATTTAGTTCTTTTCTTAACAATAACATTGTCAATGGTCAGAAAGCTCATATAAACTGTTTTTGCATTTTTTAAACTTTGTGGTGCTATCTGTACTGTTTCCCAAAAAAGTACCATTTTAACTAAATGATTTGTTGGGTATTGGATCTCTTTTCGTTTTGTCAACCTTTCAAGTAAAGCCCTCCATTACATCATTGTGACTGTGGCTGAGTTATTAGAGATGATTTCTGAGTTAAACTTGTCTTGTTAGGGGTCTCGAGCTTGCCTTGTCGGCTACGGCATGTAACATCCAGATCTAAAGTTAGAACAATTTTTTATCTGTTTCTATCCCTGCCCACCCACCCACCGTACCCTGTCCTGTTTACAAAACTTTACTTCCCACGGGGCCATTTTAAGCAAATATGTAAGTTTCTAAAAGCTTTAATAAACGCCAAATCAAATTTTCATGTAGTAATAGGACAGAGATAAGCAACCTACAAAACATACTGTGCCTAAGAAGGCACACGGGCCACTATGTCTATTCAGTCAGTCCACAGATATTGAGCTACTTGGGCTTGTTTTTGTTTTTTTTTTAATATGCATTATTAGCTAATATCATTAGATCAACTTTGAGATAGTTATTATTATAATCTTCATCCTAAAAATGTGAGAAACTGAGAGATTAAGTAATTTGCCAAAGGCCATACTACTAGAAAGTGACAAAAGCAGGCTTTAAACTGGTTCTGTTTCATGTTCTGGGTCTGCCATGAAAAGGGCTGAGGAAGCGTGATAAACTTCTGCTAAGTACACCCAGTATTTAAACTAAGTCACTAATAGTACTTTACCTCAGAGGACGGTTGTGAGGACGAAATGAGTCAGGGTATGGGAAGTGCTCAGCATGGTGCATGGCGCATACTAACTACTGTCCTTATGGGCAGGCGGTTAAAGGGGTGCCTCTAGAAGTAAATCAGTCTTTGTTTAGAAATCACTAGAGCAACTTCTGTATCTTGAAACCTGGTAAATCTCTCTATGATCCAATTAGTTCCACACACAGGACCTAAGAGATGCCAGAGCTTGGCCTGTCAGTTCTGAGTAAGGCAGGTATTACCCAGGCTCCAGGATTTCCTTTGCTGGCTTCAAAGTCAGCCATGACCAGCATTTTTAGCTCAGCTCTTGCTGGTGCTTCACCCCCAAATCTGCTTTCTGTATCAGAGAGGCCTACGCAGTAATTTAAGGTGGACATGTCAGGTAATGGGTGATGACGTCTTGACCCCATCACCCCTTCCTTGAGCAGTCACTGTGAATTAACGGTGGTGACAGAGAGGTGTAAGAAACTAGAAGTAAATTCTATGCAGCCAGTAACTGTCCATTCAACCCAAACATCTTTTGAGAAATAGTCTCAGACTGCCCCTATACACTTTATAGGACACCACTCCTTATGTGTCTTCTGTTAAATATATGAAAGAAAAACCATAAGGAATGGGGGACGAAGACTGCGATATCTGAATGATTAAGAAGGCTACATTGTTAAATATCCCCTGACCCTTTAGTGCTAAACACATGTTCTAAAAATATAAAAAATATATACAAATTCTGTAAATAACCTGTTTATTTTTTTATAGAAAGCCATGACAGAAAATGATTAGTATGTTACTATGTAAGAACACTTACATCCATACAATCAACAAATTCTTCAAATCCGTATTTTAAAAATAGTTTGAATGTTAATTATAGGAGGGCCTTGATGGGATCATTTTGTGAACAGTTCACTTTTACAACAAACTCAAGACACAGCTTGCAGCAGTGCTCTTTAGACATAAGCATTTTTATCAAACTGTTTTGAAGGGTTTGTGGTTTTAAAATCTTCTCCACCATGATACTTTGTCCGAGAAGACATGACAGATGTGGCCCCATTGTATGCGTATCCCATTCTGAAAGGCAAAACACAGTTCGGTAGATGCTATTTTACAAGCAGGGCAAACAAAAATGGGAAGAAACCATTTTCCCCCTATTGCTAAGTTTAAGTCTTTCCCTGATTACTTTTAGTTAGCTTTCCTCTCTCTCTCTCGTCCCAAGAAATATTTCAGTCATTTCTGAACAAGTGGTATGACAAAGAATCTCTGCAGAAGAAATGGCCTGTTCATTTGTTCAGTTATTCTCCTTCAAAACTATTATTTAAAACTCATCTTCTTGAAACATAGGGGACTACAATGACCTTCACCAGCAATTTCTGCCACTGTGAAAATTATGACGAGGCCCCATAGTTAGACTCATATTTCTACTTACACAAATAGTTTTGGCATGGAAGAATGACGAGTTCTTTTTTTTTCACGAATTATAATTAACTATATTCCATTGAACATAATACTATATTTAATATTATATTTACTATATTTTCCTAACCTTTCCCAATTCTGGGTTTTTGAAATTTCTAAGAATCAAATGAACTATCTACAGTTTGTCCCACATGTAATAATTTAGACTAGTGTGCTTTGTAACAGGTCATTTTGTCTCTTTCGTACCTGGGTGTTTTGTTGTTGTCAGATATTGAAAAGCAAAATATGACACCACCAATTATGCAGAGTGAGGCTCCCGCCCATCCAATAAACAGAGCAGCTCCTAATTCATACCTGTGAGGAAGTATTACACAAGTATTACGGCTTACTTATGGGATGGGGAGGGTAAACAGTATTTAACACTACTAGTCAACATTTACTAAATGCTCATTATAAATTTTTACTATTGGAGCCTGTACAGGAAGTAATAACACCTTGTATCTATATAACGCTTTAAACTTTTCTCAAAGTGTTGTTATAGTCATTACTTAATTATATCTCCCCAACATCCTGACTGGAAGAGGAAGGGATCCCTGCAGGTAAAGCAGAAGCAAAGACACTGAAGCGCAGGCCCCCTGGCTCAGCCAGCATCTTTCCTCTGGGCTCTGCCTGAACCGCACAAAGCTTTGCATCTCTTTATTCTGTCATGCAGGGTAAATTATTTGGGCAGACTCCAGTTAGAAAAGGAAAGGTTGTCTTTGCTTCCACTTTAGTTCAATTCAGTAAATGTTTATTAAACACCTGCTGTGTGCAAATCATGTGCAGGGTGCTATTTTGGCATAAAGATTATTTTGAGCTAAAGGCAATTGAGAAGAAGCAGATATAAGAAAAGCTCTCTGCCCTCCCCTATTTGCCTAAAACCGGGACATAAATTTGCTCTGCACTCTCTGCCACAGAGGACAGAAGTGAATCACCAGAGACAACTGTAGACTTAGCCTGGAGATGGCACCAGAAACTCTTCATAAACTTTACTAAGTAGCCCTTCTCTTCCCTTAGTTCTCCCACATACATATCTGCCTTCCCTTTATTTGCCCCCTAGAAGCTCAAAGTCTTTTTACGTTGTCTTGTCATTTTTCTGCAAATATCGTTCTTTCGTTAAGATGCTACAGAAGCCCAAGTTCTAACCACCCCAATACTCCTCACTGGGTGCTCCTATATGTATGTGTGATGCACATGGTAATAGCTCTGTCTTTTGTCAGTCTAATTTACAGGGCCTTAGTGGAGAAACTAGGAGAGTAAAGGGGGAAAAAGTTTTCCCTCCTCTATAGTACTCATAAAAGGTCAGTGATACTGTATTATCTTACTTATCACTAGAACCTAGAGAGAGATGAATAAAAAATAACTATCATTTAATGACAGATTGCTATTACGGTTCTCCTAGATGGCAGGCCCTCTCTACTGATGACTGGAGCAGTTGCAAAGATAAACAAGACAACCCCTGCCTTGGAGAGATCACACAAAGGCACAAATAATGCTACTGAGAATGAAAAAGGGAAAAATCACAATGAAGGGCTAGAGGAAATCTTTTTAGGGGAGGAGCGTTCACCCAGAGAAACACATGAATGGGAAAAGAAAAGCAAAACCTCAGGGGGCTATGTGTGTTCTCATGTTTGCCAATCCTATTATTGAAGAATGGTGGGGGTTTTGTTTTGTTTTGAAATAAAGAAGTGGTTCTCAAACTTTTTTGGCCCATAGACTGCCACTGCAAGGAAAAAATGGATGGTTGCCATTCCCTACCTAAAGGGGCTTTTCATTGTAAAAGGAAGTCAGAGTAGGAAGGATCCCCTTTGATCATACAGAATCCACAGAGGAGATGAGAAAGTAAGAAGTAAGGTTATGAAAGATGTGCCAAGGTCGGCTCCCTCCTCAGCCCAACCCCCAGAACCAGATACAGGGCCAGGATTAAGTATTAAGGCCACACCATTATGTTGATAGCATCTGGTGTAAGCGGCCGGTGCCTGTCCTGAGCTTTGTCTCATCTCTTTCTACACGCTGTGTCACCATGTCTGAATTCCCATCCAGGCATGGGCAGGCCTTCTGCTGCGGTTTGAGTTGTAGCAATGGTAGTTTAACCAGCTACCAGCTTAGAGCAGGAAGCAACACTTATATAAGATTAGGGACTTATGGTCCACTCATCTACTTTCAGAGCTGACTACAGAGGCAATTTCATGGCCTGCATTTACAATTGGGAAGGGGTGATGTACACAATACATGCTGCCCCGCGATCCCTTTTTTTCTTCACTCTAGTGTCACCTTTCCTGGGAAATCAAGGTGATAGCTGAACCGAGGAACACCTGTAAGCACCTCATCCTCACTAGAGCCCTGACTAGGCTCTGGGAACTGAGAAACTTCAACTGACTCCATCAGAGGTAACGACAGAAAAAGAAGGCTGGTGTAAGTGGAGAGAAAAACCTTCAGTCTGTATGAAAAAAAAAACAGTCGAAAAGAGGACTGAATAGGGAAGTACACAGGTGAAAAAGAAGAGAGCTGGCCAGCTCAGGAGTGTTTAATTGGTAGTTTTATAAAAGAGTCCTTCATTAAATATCCTGTTATACATCAAAAAAGAATATCCTGGATTTCCACAATTAGCCCTGATTTTATGATGTTGGAACAAGATTGTACAAATAAAACAAGCATAGTGCCAAGCTGTAGGTGCATATCATTTGACTTCCTCTATCTAAAAGTCCTACAGTAAGCTCGTATTAAATCCATTCTCTTCCTGTTACTGCAACTAAAGAAATAAGCATACTGCAAATATCTACTTGGAGGACAATATTATAAGATTATAATTTAATGACACTATTTTTCTCTATTCTCCTCCTGCCCCTCATGCCCCCAGAGTTTAGGCTGTGTTCTCTTCTGAAACTATGTTAGTATTTCTTAGTGTAAATATCCCTGGAAGAAACATTCTGAGATTTTCCATAAACTATTTAGCTTTCTAAAATAGGATGCCAGTGCCAGGTACCATGGCTGATTAAAAATAAGTCTCTAATTATTAATAGTGGTCAATTAAGAGTGAAGGTGAAAGAAATCATAAACCACAGCTCAGCACTACGAATTCTTTTAGAAGAGCATACAAACATGAGCACAGTGTTGTTACAAATCAGAGGATAAATTATGCAGGCAGCTCAAATTTCAGGAATTATGTCTTTACATACATCTAAGCATCTTGAAACGTTCTGAAGGGGTTTAAGAATCATAAGTTTAGCTTACATTAAAAACTGTTCACTTATTCCTGTTTTTAAATATATTTTCGTTTTTTATGTCACTAAATATGGACTCTATTCCAAGGAAAATTTCATTTCCATTTAAATTCCTTGCGAATTGTGTCAAAGACAAACATTTAGTCATAGTACCAATTTAGAATTTAAGCCTTTAAGAAACTCCATTTTTATACCAGTAATTTTTACCAATTTGGACATGAGGGCTTTCGTGACTTGGTTCTTTCTCTTTCAGAGACTTTTCTTTCATTCTGTTAAAAGACATGTATGGTAGACTTATTGAATAGTGACCTGAATTCACACCTACCAGTGTGGATGATCTGGCAAAAACAGACTTGTATTATTGAGAGACAGGACTGAGAGAGAGCAAATATAATATCCAGTCAATATGTCATGGATCACGCTTCCTTTGACACTGATTGAGAAGCTTTGTCTCCTCCTGGAAAACTTTCTTCATTTTTGGTAATGCTAAGAAGCTGACTTCAACACCTTGGAAGGTTATCCAAATTTTGGATGATCTGTTGTAGGTCCTATGTTAACAATATCCTCCTGGCCCTAGACCAGCTTTCCCACTCACAGAGTGGCCTCTTTGTTGAGCTGTTACAATTACCAAAAGGTCTTCATTATTCTGAAAAGCTGTAAATCTACTTAACACCACACAGATCCACGATCATCAGGTTGAGAACAGAACTTCATCTTATAGATTAGAATACTGTTTTTGGAGCATTTCTCAAGATATTCTGCTCAGCTGATAAGACTAATCAAAAGCCTGCATGACTTTAATTCATATATGTAATTGAATGAACATCTGGAAAACAAGTAACAGAAGAAAATGTATTTCTATACAGACATTAACACACCGATTACTCACTTAAACCGCCTCCCCCCAACCCATAAAATCTAAGGCATTAAAATGTACTCTGAACTATTGGATATAGTTATTCTTATCCACTTGGTTCTGCCTGGGGCTGCAGGCTATTGTTCATGTCTCTCATTTCATGTTGAGAGAAGCAGAACCAGAAACTTGGTTCTGATGAATTGCATACCTCACTTCATATTTTGGCCCTGTAATCTTCATAGTAATCCTGAGGGAATGGATTGAGGAACATCTCTTATTTTCATCTTCTATTCGTGTCTTTCTAGCTCCCCAATCCCTGTTATGACTTGATTTGCCATCCATGGGGAGCTGGTGTAGCCTAACCCAGTAAACTGGTATCATGCTAATCATGTGTTTCAAGGTAGATGAGAGACACAGGCATTCTCAAGGATCTTACTGTCTAAGATCATCAAACATTAAGCAAATAATTATAGTAAAATGTGATGAAACTTAACAATAGAATTAGAAGAACCTGTTTTTGCAAAGTAAACATTACTTGTTCTTCCAAATCCATATAGATGTGGTTTGAGTAAGTGTCCACGAGAGTAACAGTTACTACTATTACTGTCAGCTCACTGTACTAGGATTTTTTGTGGGCCAAGATACTTTTTACACATATTTCCATATTTGCTCTTCATTGCAATTCTAAGAGATGGGTTTTACAAACAAGGAAACTGAAGCTCGGGGAGATTAAATCACTGTCCAATACTAAGTAAATGGTAGAACCAGGATTTAAAACCCATAATGGTGATTCCAAACCCTGAGCTGTTAGCCATCACTCTTTCTTCCTTATGTACACCTCAGCTAAGTATATATATAAAAAAATACAACCAATGCACTGTATTTTTAGTTGTCATTACAGAAAGCTCTGAGCTCTCTTTCTCCCTGGCTCATTACCTACTCAGTGGCTCAAGAGCTCTAGGGTATGGAATTTTTTCTAAATTCCCTTATGCTGTTTTTTCACCCAGCACAAAAGGAAGTCAATGTAGTAATTAAAATCAAAACATGTTGGACTTGAAAAAGAGAAAATCAGCTCCTCTAAAAACAAAACAAAAATTGTTTAATGAATGAAAAAAACCTTATCCTTTCAAGATCCTCACAGAAGTGAAGTGACCTTGCTGAAAGTCACAGAGTTAGGTGCCAGTTCTTTTGACACCCAAGAGAGTGTTTTTTCCCAAACATATCATTCTAGTCCT